GCATGCTGGATGGTCAGTCACTCTAGCTGTGCCTCAGGACTGTATGGGAGATACTTCTTGTTACTGTTTAAGCCATTTGAGTTGTGTCTGTTTTTGGTGCTCATAACTGAAAGTATTCTCAATGGTATGGGACAAAAAGAATGTGCCTTTTGTTTCTGATAGCAGTTATAAAAGAGAAATTCTAAAAAATGTTTTGAGTGATGTTAACATCAGTTAAATTAATTTATGGGCAGGCATAACTTATACATTTTACCTAATTTTAAAAAGTTATCACTTGGGCATGCATATAAGGAAAGATAAATATAACTCTTCTATTTCAGGTAATTGTATATCTTTGGGCTTTTCTTTAGCTTTGTCTTAAAATAGGAGCACCCTTACATGGGCCAGTGATGCTTTTGGGGCTGGGAGAGAAAAGTGACCTCTGTTCCACATGTCTAAAGTAAGTTGCTGAAACTTTCAAATATTTTTGTTCATGAGTCTGGTGTATTTCAGTGATTCTTCCAGAAATAAAGATTTCCTGGACTTGAAATGGTCTTTCTGTGGGTGTAGTAGATTAACTGCATTATTGATCTTAGTCCCTTTTTATACCTACACCAATCTTAGCTTGGACTGCTATAACAAACATACCATGGACTGGATGGCTTATAAACAACAGAAATTTATTCCTCACACTTCTGGAGGCTGGAAGCGTATGATCAGGGTGGTGGCATGGTCGGATTTTGATGAGAGTCCTATTCTAGGTTTCAGTGTGTGTTCTTATTGTATACTCACATGGTGGAGAACAGAGGGAGTAAACCACCTCTCTTGTGACTCTTATAAGGGCACTAATCCCATTCATGAAGGCTTTACCCTTATGACTTCATCTAATCCTAATTATCTCCCAAAGACCCCACTTTCTAATGCCATCACCTGGGGGTTGGAGGGGGGTTGGCATTGAGTTTCATCATATGAGTTTTGGAGGGACACAAATATTCAGTTCCTAACAACACTTTTTGCCATGTAGCCTGGTAGTGCCCTCCTACTATGATTCTAGGTTTGCCTATGTGATGTTCTTTGGCCAATAGGTGCAAGCAGAGGCTAGAAAAGCACTCACAGTTGAGGTTGTTTGCTCATGCCCTGCCTAGATACCATGACAATGTATCTAGGTTAGCCTGTGGGAGAATGAGTGTAACATGGCTCAAGCACTCCAGCTGATAATCAGACAACTGCCAGATATGCGAGTGAACCCAGAGAAGACCAGTGTCTTGGCTTTTAGGCAGTCATACCTTATACAGGTTAACTCAGAAGTTACCCAGTAATCACCTACTTTGACATGCTTATGACCTAATTCAAAGATAAATGTAACAGTTCAATTTTAAGTACATATGTGACTTTAGGTTTTTAGCTATGTCTAAAAATGGACCGCATCCCACCAATGGGAGCTGGTCTCTGTTCCACATGTGTAATAGTGTCAAGTGAGTTATTGAAGGTTTTAGGAATGGATTTTTATGTGAGTTTGGTTTAATTCAGTGATTAAAGATGGGAGCAGCATCCATTAGATGCCCATGAAACTTCCTTATGGTGGTTAGGAGGATATTGGAGTTGTTTCCCAGGATGCTGATAGGAAATCATATGTCACTAGTTCAATTTTTTAAAATTAATTATAACTAAATAAAATTGATTCATTTCCTCAGTTGTACTAGCCATGTCAAGTGCTCCACAGCCACAAAGAGCTAGTGGTTACTGCTTTGGACAGCACAGATACAGAACATTGTCATTATCTCAGAAAATTCTTCTGGGCAGTGGGCTCAAAGCTTGTGCTCAAATTTCTTATTTATGGAATTTTTTCTTTCTAAACTTCTAGTTTCTGCTGACCACTTGGTTCTGACAGGCCCTCACTCTGTACCCTCTGGGAAAAATGAATTATTATTGTCTAGGTTTTTTTATAAAACTCAAGCTAGCCTATTCTGACACCTACAATGTTAAATACTCTCTCATTTACAGGTCACAAAAGTTAACTACTAAACCCGAGTCTTTATTTATTTACCTGTATTGATAGGGAGTATTCATTCTCTCAGAGCAGAGTAAGGCTTGAGAGGGAGTGAGGGCAACCGAGAGAACCTCCAGTTTGAATTGTAAAAACCTCAGCAAAAAATGAGGGGGGAAAAAAGAAGAAATTGAAGTACAAACAGAAAATATTAGGCAAAAATCATGATCCATGACCAGGCTCCCTTGAATTTATGCTCCCACCCCCACCCTAGTATTTGCTAGAGGACAGGGCCTGTCTCCACTCTCTGGTTTCCTCAAGGAGGAAATTTTCTTCCAAAGCAATTTCTCCCCCAAACATTCCTGGTCTCTCTTCACCTCTTTACTCCTTTGGGTGAGGTGACTTTTTTGAGTGGTAAATCTGGGAAATATAAACTGAGTTCTTTTGTGTGCAAAACTTTCCCTGGGTGGGCCTCTCGTGACCAGCTTCATATGCAGAGCCCTTTCTGTAGAGTGGCTGAGAGGTAGGTGGGTAACTAACTCTGCCTTGCATTGTGGGTCCTCATATAAGTCTTTTCTTTCAACTATGCTTCTATCAGTGATAAAGGCAAAATTTTGGCTTCCATCTGCTATTCCTTGTCTTATTTCTCAAATTCTTAAGAATTCAGGTGAGGAAGAGAAATGATGTTTACTGGATGTTCCCACAGACCCCATAGTCTTGGTAAAGTGTTTTCCGAGGCTGCCGCATGCTTGATTTTATGCAAGCTAATGGGAAGCATATCCAGCTAGATGTTTGTGTAGATACTACTGCATGGTGGTGGTGGGGTTTGATAGAGGCTGACAAGTTGTATTTTGAAGGAAGAACAGAGTTTGGATAGCAACAGAGGACAGGATGCAAAAATCTAGAGGTGGGAAGCTCGAGGAATGTTCAGGAGGGGAACGTAAAACTCCCCTCTGCAAGGCTCCTGCAGGGGCGTGGGAGAAAAGTCTGGAGAGAGAGGGATCACCCACTGGTGGTATTTCTTTTCACCTCAAAATTATTCAACATCTTTGCTCATGTTTTTTTTTTTTATTGAGATATAATTGACATATAACATTTTTAGTTTTAGGTGCACAACATAATGATTTGATATTTGTATGCACTGTGAAATAAATCATCACCACAGTAAATCTAGGTAACATCCATTACAATATATAGTTACAATTTTTTTTCTTGTAGTGAGTCATTGTAGTTTTAATTTGCATGTCCCCAGTGACTAATGATGTTGAGCATCTTTTCATGTGCTTATTAGCCATTCATACTGGGATTCCTTTTAATGGTAGAAATCCCCGCCTTTAAAAGAAACAGGAAGAGGACATGTATAGACTGTGGAACTGTATTTCCATCTAACATGCTAAGACAGGAGTGGCAGCCCAGTTGGAGACCTATCTGAATAATTCAGAAGAGACAACGCCACCCTTTAGGAAGAACAGATACAGGTGGCAGTGAGCCTCGGTTCTCTGTTGGTTGCTCACAGCAAACTTACTGGGGAATTGCCTGCCTCTTTATTTTAAATTCTCTATGCAGATGTTGTCCATACCTGATGGCCTCAGAATAGACTTGATGTTGGGGAGCGGTTTGGTTTTGTTTAACTGCTCTGTATTGATAATACCAGCTCATCCATCACATACAAAGAAAATGTGCCAAAGCTTTTTTTATTTTCTGTACTCCTCCCAGAGAGAACAAAGCTATCAGAAGCTTAATTTAATGTAGCATCACTTACAAAATAGAGAAGTATGGTTAGGAAAAAGGACAGAGACAGCAACCTGATGGAGCTCTCAGCGGCCAAAGGTAGGACGGTCTGAGCTAGAAAATAAATAATTATAATAATAGATCATGACTCACAGAATAAAATAAATATCCACAATTCATACTGAAATAAATCCATAATTGAATAAAGAAATGAGAGAGAAGGAACAGCTCTTTCTTACGGCAGAATTCCAATTATTATAACTGAAGGCAGCGATAGAAATCAAAATGACCATTTAGCACACATCACACTGATGGACCATGGATGGATGCAGAAAGGACTGAGTTGAAGTGTGGTATGATACAGGATATTTACAAAGTCTTAAAGTGTCTCCCCACAAGATACTTATTCATTACTCAGGGAAAAACAGTAACTCTGCAGTGGAGAAACTTAGCAGATACCACTTTAATCAAGAGATCAAAGTCGACATAACCAGCAACAGGACATATTGACATCATCTACCCCTTGATAGGATGTACTGAGGACACAAGCACTTCTGGGTATTACTGTCCAAAAACCTGATCCTAGTCATGAGAAAGTAGCAGACAGACTACAAGTGGGTTCTAGAGTTATTCCACCTCTGTTCAAACCTTGCTACCATACTTACTAGCTATGTGACTTTGGACAAGTTACTTCATTTCTCCTTGCCTCAGTTTCCTCATCTGTAAAAAGGGGGATAAGAAGTAGTACCCACCACAGAATGTTGTATTGGGGATTAAAAGTGTTAATACATGTACAGTTCCTAGAACAGTGCCAGAGTACGGGCCATATTAAGACCTACAATATCATCTTCTGCTCATCTTAGGGATATCACCCCCCCCCATGTGCTTCTGGAAGCTTTCTGATTGATGCATGCCCTGTGCAGATTCCTCCTCCGACAAGCTATTTTACTCTAAAAGTATGTCCCTTTCCACCAGCAGCCAGAACCATGATCTATGCCTTAAGGATGTTTTACTTTCAAAGGAATCAGAATAACTGTTTTCTCAGTGAGGGTTGCTACTGGGAGATGCCTGCGTTGGAAAGACAGAGCTCATGTCACCAAAGAAATTTCTGAGGCCAGTTTCCCATATTCCCAGCATGGGGTACAGATCTTTCTTGGCCCTGATTGGTTTGGGGTGGTGGTATGGATCTGCCTCACAATTACCTGTCTCAGGCCTCACCCCATGTCACATATTAGCATCTGTTTGGCCAATAAGACTGTAGCACACACACCAGCCTCATTTCCTGCTTAGGCCTCACCTTTGATGTCACAATCTGACCTGTGGATATTAATCTGGCCACAGCTGCTCACAAACCAGATGGCAAGGTCAAGAGGACCAGCACAGTAAGATGTGGAAGAGAATTGACCATCAATCCAAGATCAAAGCAGGGGATGGAACTCAGGCGGGTCAGTTCAGGGAACTAGGTTCAGCTCGGGAACCTGCCATGCCGCACCCTCTAGAGCTATCAGAATTCCAGAGCTTCCCAGTGTTCGAGGACATTAGCCACCACATTAAAGAAGTGGGGGCCCAACTGGTAAAGAAAGTCAATGCCATCTTTCAGCTGGACATCACCAAAGATGGAAAGACCATTCTGCAGTGGACCATTGATCTGAAGAATGGTTCTGGGGATATGTATCCAGGATCCGCCAGGCTCCCAGCAGACACTGTCTTTACAATCCCGGAACCTGTCTTTATGGAGTTGGTTTTGGGCAAAATGAATCCTCAGAAGGCTTTCCTTGCTGGCAAGTTCAAAGTGAGTGGCAAAGTTCTGCTTGGCCAGAAGCTGGAGAGGGTTTTCAAAGACTGGGCTAAATTTTAAGGATGCAAAAACACCCAGAAAGTGATCAGAACTTCTTCTGCTTATAATGTTGAGCAAAAATCATGCTTAAACTGAAGATTAAAACAAAAAGCTTCCAATATTTTTACTCAAATTCTTCCTATTCAAGTTTGATTAAC